TCAGGTTGCTTCAACCACGTCCAGCCTGGCCTTGAACACTGCCAGGGATGTGACAGCCACAGTTGCTGAAAGAGGGTTGTGTTGTTTGCACAGGAGATGGGCCATGCTCCTTGATGGAGAGCTGCAGGACAGGCCTGCTTCATGATCCCTTCTGGAACACTGGTGAGGGACAGAAGAAGTAGCTTCTGCCTCTGCTGGGCACCTCAGAGCTTTGGTCTGATCTGGCTCAGCTCTTTAACCATCACTTGAAGCTCACACTCATTGGAACACCCACAAAGGTGAACATACTTGGCATAATGCTAAGGTGAGATGTGTGTGTCTCAGCATCCTGGCTGTTGCAGAAGAGTGTTCTGGCCATGAGGTGTCTGTCCTCGCTCACATCACCAGAGTATGTCCCTAAACCAGAGGTGACACACAGGTCAATGAGGGTGGCATGTCCAGCATCCAGACATCATCCTATGGCCATGGAATACCAGGATCTTTGCTGCCCTCTAAGGAGAATAGTCCAGAACAGCATGCATCTCCTCCGTTCACATGTCCCAAGTGATGTTTCTCTTCCTTACGTTTTGTTTTCTGATGCTGTGATTTAGTCATTCCTAAAGACCTGCAATGTTCAATCCACTTATCATCTCTTTGGCTATTTATTTGCTACATCCATGGGGACCAAAGACTTGAGAAGAAGATTCATAGCACCTCTTTTTCTGCAGTAGAAACAGTGCTCTCCTCTGTTGCTGCTGATTCAAAATCTCCTTTTTTCCTGCACCCAGGAATTTCCATTTCCCTCCATTCAGACAGCTACCACATAGATCGCCCTGCTTTGAACACGAGGATGGACTGCTCTCTTTAGAATCTGATAGTAAGAAAACTGAGGTAGGTATCGAGAGAACATCCTCAAAGAGAATCCAGATCTGCATTTCAATACACTTTCCTTTATAAGGGTTGCAAGTTACATGTCTTTTCAACTATGACATGGAAAAAAATATTGGAAGCACTTCATGCACAAATCTCTGGGGTCCCAACTGGGAGAAGACTGGAGGATCCAATAGGATTTTTCCATGAATGACCTTTACAAGTTGAAGAAATGGAGGTTTCTCTTACAGGCCGGACCACATGAGAGCTGGCCTGCAGGATCCCTCATTCAACATCACTAACATCACCTTTCGATGCAGAAGGTGCACATGTAGGCACAGCCTACACTGATATGAAAGGCAGAATAGTGCCAGTTACTAAGCATTAAAGCACAAATTTTATACAGATCAGTGAAATGGAAAACCATGACCTGGTAGAGCTCAGGAGAAGGATAAGTTCATGGCTTCTTCTGGTTATTTCTGGTTATAACAACCAATTCTTGGTTGCAATATTCCTGGACTCCTGATGCCAATATTCCTGATGCCAACCTCATGAAGTTTAACCATGCCAAGTGCAAGGTCCTACACCTGGGTCGGAGCAATCCCAGGCACAGCTACAGGCTGGGCAGAGAAGAGATTCAGAGCAGCCCTGCAGAGAAGGACTTGGGGGTGCTGGTGGATGAGAAAATGAACATGAGCCAGCTTCAGTGTGCGCTTGCAGCCCAGAAAGCAACCGTATCCTGGGCTGCATCAAAAGGAGCGTGACCAGCAGGTCGAAGGAGGTGATCCTGCCCCTTTATTCTGCTCTCGTGAGACCTCACCTGGAGCATTGTGTGCAGTTCTGGTGTCCTCAACATAAAAAGGACATGGATCTGTTGGAACAAGTCCAGAGGAGGCCACGAGGATGATCAGGGGACTGGAGCACCTCCTGTATGAAGATAGGCTGAGAAAGTTGGGGCTGTTCAGCCTGGAGAAGGCTGCGTGGAGACCTCATAGCAGCCTTCCAGTATCTGAAGGGGGCCTATAGGGATGCTGGGGATGGACTCATCATTAGGGACTGTAGGGTAGGACAAGGGGAAATGGGTTAAAAGTTAAGCAGGGGAAGTTTAGATTGGATATAAGGAAGAAGTTCTTTATTGTGAGGTTGGTGAGGCACTGGAATGGGTTGCCCAGGGAAGTTGTGAATGCTCCATCCCTGTTGGTGTTCAAGGCCAGGCTGGACAGAGCCTTGGGTGACATGGTTTAATGTGAGGTGTCCCTGCCCATGGCAGGGGGGTTGGAACTTGATGATCTTAAGGTCCTTTCCAACCCAAACTATTCTATGATTCTATGACTCTTATCTACATTTTACACACATTATATTTTTATACATATATATATGTATATGTATATATGTGTGTGTATATATATACTTAGGAAAGTTTTCCCAGATTAATTAAAACTGTGGACAAGTGGAAGAGTTTGGCTTCATTCCCAATGCTCATTCATTCACAACTAAACTGGACTCATTTTCCTCCACTTCCAAAAGAAAATCACCCACATAAGGATATTAAACAAGTTTCACTGTAAGAGTTAACCAGGGTCAGCTTTTATTGATGCCAGTTCCATGGGAAAAGTCCTTATTATCCAAGGCTGGCTTGCTGCAGATTGGTCTGCTTGGGAATTCACCATCAGGGCTTTGGAAATCTCTATGTTTCCATTGCAGTTTTGATATCACAGCTGCGTATTGATTGTATTATCTGAGCTGGTATCTGCTTTGGCTGCTTAGTGTTTCACTGTGGGTATTTTAAGTCCTTTCTGAAGAAACAGAAGAAATACGGTTTGATTGCCTGTCCTCTTCCTTTCTCTGTATATAACAACTCTTTGTGTGCAGTGCTCTTACCGTGATCTGATACTTTACTGTCTGAAAAGCCAACAAGGGTTGCCTGGACATCAAGCTCAGCACTTTGCTATTCTTCAGAAATACCCATCAAACGCTGTTTTAAACTAGAGCCACAGAATCCCATTGCTTCTATATATTGAGACATGTTTTCAATGGCCAGTCTTCTGCACTAACAGAATGTAGCAGTATCAGACCCAAAGAGAAAGGACAGAGCTCAGGGAGTGAAACCCAGTGCAAGGAACTGCTTCCCCTTGATGCTTTTACTGGGCTGCAGGAGGGAGCATTTGCTAGATCAAGAAAATAAACCCTTGTGGTTCAGTATCTAGGGTAAGATGCACAGCATGAGGCCTGGGGACTAGGCGTCTGTATAGAAATGCAATAGTCATGTTCCCTGCAGCTTTTAATCCAAGTGTATACAAAACACTGTCAGACCCCTTTATTCTAACGTGCATCTCAGGATAAGGGATCCTTCTTAAAGTCCTTGACTTTTGTCACACCCATTTCTGATGGTGTTTGGTCATAATTATTTGCAACCTTTAGTCCCATTTCCAGCCCGCTAATACTGTAAGAAACCAGTGTCTTTCATCCAGCTGTCCTTAGAGTGAATACAAAACAACCCTTCTCATTCCCTCTGCCCTCCGAGTTCATGGAGAACACCCTACCAAACCCTACTCTCTGTATCCATCCCCTCAAATCCCTTTTACGCATTCCTAAGGGGAGAAAACTGTCTTCACCAAACCTCCTTTACGGGCAGATTGGGATTCTATTTGAATCAGCAGTGGCTGTACTGGGATCCTGCTTGAACACAGGCTCAGCAGTGGCTGGACTGGGATCCTATTTGAACACAAGCTCATCAGTGACTCTGTTGGGATCCTATTTGAACACAGGCTCAGCAGTGACTCTATTGGGATCCTATTTGAACACAGGCTCAGCAGTGGCTGCATTGGGATCTTATGTGAACACAGGCTCAGCAGTGGCTGTACTGGGATCCTACTTGAACACAGGCTCAGCAGTGACTCTATTGGGATCCTGTTTGAACACAGGCTCAGCAGTGGCTGTACTGGGATCCTGTTTTAACACAGGCTCAGCAGTGGCTGTACTGGCATCCTATTTGAGCACAGGCTCAGCAGTGACTCTATTGGGATCCTATTTGAACACAGGCTCAGCAGTGGCTGTACTGGGATCCTATTTGAACACAGGCTCAGCAGTGACTCTATTGGGATCCTATTTGAACACAGGCTCAGCAGTGACTCTATTGGGATCCTATTTGAACACAGGCTCAGCAGTGGCTGCATTGGGATCTTATGTGAACACAGGCCCAGCAGTGGCTGTACTGGGATCCTATTTGAACACAGGCTTGGCAGTGGCTGTATTGGGATGCTGTTTGAACACAGGCTCAGCAGTGACTCTATTGGGATCCTATTTGAACATAGGCTCAGCAGTGGCTGTACTGGGATCCTATTTAAACACAGGCTCAGCAGTGACTCTATTGGGATCCTGTTTGAACACAGGTTCAGCAGTGGCTGTACTGGCATCCTGTTTTAACACAGGCTCAGCAGTGGCTGTACTGGCATCCTGTTTTAACACAGGCTCAGCAGTGGCTGTACTGGCATCCTATTTGAGCACAGGCTCAGCAGTGACTCTATTGGGATCCTATTTGAACACAGGCTCAGCAGTGGCTGTACTGGGATCCTATTTGAACACAGGCTCAGCAGTGACTCTATTGGGATCCTGTTTGAACACAGGCTCAGCAGTGACTGAATTGGGATCCTATTTGAACATGAGCTCAACAGTGGCTCTGTTGGGATCCTATTTGAGCACAGGCTCAGCAATGGCTTGTACACCAGCAAGAAGAGACTGAGTTGTGCCCCCAGAATCTGTAGCATGGCATTAACAACTTCAGTTACAAAGCCTTTGCAACAGACAAGGGAAAATATATAACCTGGCCATATTGATTTTACTCTGAGAAGCTGTATAAGAGCAGACTATGAACATCCATGTGTACCCAGAGACAGGCCAGAGGCTCTAATGCCACCAGAGATCTGCTGGGAAGAGAAATACAAGTGCATGCTGCAGCAGTTGTGGCAGTGCCCCACGGGGAATGGGGAAATAGAAGGGGAAGTCACCAGACACGGTTATCTGCCTCTGACACGTGATGCCGCAGGTCAGCCAACTTGGGAGAAATGCTGAGGAAACAGCAAACAGCAATTGTCACCCCATTTTGGGGCAGGCGGGAACAAACATCCCCTGAATAGCAGCAGAAACCCTCTCTTTTCTGTGAGTTTCCCTTTCTGTGTAAAGGGGCAGGTTGATGACGGGGTATAAATCACAGTGGGGCTCTGGAGGGGTCAGCCAACTGTTTCTTCAGGAAGAAGAGTGAAGCACCAGCTCAGTTGCTGGTCCTGAGACTCTGCTTCAAGGTAAGCTCTTACTCCTTTGTCACCATTGACTGCGGTATTTCAAGTGCCTCTTTAGCATCAGGATAAATACATCAAAGTGTGGACTGTAGTTGCTGAGCTTTAGCATCCACCTTCCAAGGAGAAAGTGGGAGATTTTGCATGCACCATGTTTTGCAGCTCTTTCTTTATCATTTTACATTAAGGAGGGCAAGGACAGAAGGAATAACTTGAGAAAGAAACTCAAGAATAGAAAAGTAAAGGTCTGGAGAATATGAGAGAGATTCAGAGGCAGAAGAGACTGGAAAAAGCTTGGAAAATGTCACCACAAGAGCTAATAATGCTCATGGTCTTTGAAAAAATTATAAAATCAGGTGGGATCCCAGAAAAAATAGCACTTCTGGTGATGCTTGGATCAAATTCTTAAAGAAGGAAGACTATTTCCAAAGGGAATAAACTACCCTACTATGAACTGGCACTTCCAGAAGCTGATGCCATTACATCTGAAGCCCTCAGCAGCTGGGGCAATGTGCCACACATGTGGAAATGTCACCGAAACCTGGTGGGATGCTGTGAAGTGGTGTCAGTGCTCCTGCTGCTCACCTCCTGTCCCAGACAGATGTTGAACCTGGCTGTGCTGGGTTCAGCAGTAGCAGTCATTTTTCTCTTTCTTGGTAGCTGGTGCAGTGCTGGGTTTTGACTTTTGGGCTGGGAACAAAGCTGATAACAATGTTTTGGTTTGGCCAAGGACTCTGTGGGCCTCATGCTCTGCCAGGGAGGAGGGAAGCTGGGAGGAAGCAGACAGGACACCTGACCCAAACTGGCCAAGGAGGTATTCCATACCACAGCATGTCATGCCCAGGAGGGAACTGGGAGTGACCTGGAAGGGCAGAGTGGACTGCAGGGTTGGAGGAGGTATCAGTCGGTGCTTGGTCGGGCTGGGGGGGCAAGTTATCGGTCACCTGGTGCTGAGGTGTTGTATTCTCTTCCCTTGTTATTTCCTTTATCATTGCTATTATTGGTGGTAGCAGCAGTGATTTGTGTTATACCTTAGTTACTAAACTGATCTTATCTCAACCTGTGGGAGTTGCATTCTTTTTGATTCTCCTCTCCATCCCCCCGAGAATAGGGGAGGGCAAGAAGGCGGGGGGGAGTGAGTGCACAAGCTGTCGGGATGGGATTAAACCACGACACTGGCCAAGGATGCTTCAGGAATGATCAGCATGGGAAGGAAGCTTTAGGAACAGATGCACAAGGAGGTGCCTGACGGTGAACTGAGATGTCTAAATGTAGGAAAACAGATACTGTCTTGCTGTGTTTTTTTTTTTTATCATTCATCTTGATGGTGGCAGTTTCTCCTGCCTGTCTTGAACATCAACTCGAGGATGAATTATTGCCCAGGCTCCAGCAAGGTCTTGTTTAGCTATGAGTGAACACCAGGCATTGCTTGTATCTGATGCACTAGATACAACCAGGCATCGGTTGTCTCTGAATACCCCTTCCTGCAGCACAGGAGTCTGCTAAAAGTTGTACAAGATGCACTGAAGATGCTGGGTGCAGTCCCCTCCTGCTCTGAGGGTGCAACCTGGCACTTCTCTACACCTGATCTGGCAACATCCCATATCTAATGCATTGCTGCCTATTGATTACAGCATGCACCGAGCAGATGGGAGTTGGGTTTGTCTCCTCTTCCAAGTACAACATTGGGAAAGGGTGGATTTAAGGTCTTCTTTTGGCCTATTGACAGAGTTTGACTCCAAGCTGTTAGGAAGACTTGATTCAAGGTTATCAGAAATAGCCACACAACACCTTGAATAATTACATTTCAGTTGCCAAGTCACCTGGAAAAGTCACATCCAACTGTTGAATAAGGGAGGGGGGAGAGGGGGGTTACTGAGTACCATAACTCCATCCGTGACCTTGCAAAAGACCTCTGGAAAAGCACGTGTCCTGGCTCCAGCCTTGGATAAACTCACTCTAACAACTCTGCCTTCCTGGGGACCATATATAAACTACCCTGAGGCCACAGCCAGCTTCAGTCTATAGCAGAGGCATTTGAATGTCCTGTTCCACTTTGGGGCTGTGAGCAGAGTCCTGTGAATAAAGCCTTTATGTGCTGCTCTTCCACACGGTAGGTTGGATTTTCTATACTTGTTATTAAGTTACTTAGATGTATTTTAAGCTCATGGAGGGGGTGGTGGAAAAGAAGGACTTTTCAGTAACTTTTCTTCCTGCTTTAGGGCAGATACAGTCATGTTCTGCAATGTATTGTGATAAACCACTTCTTGAGGTTCACTTTTCTGTTTTCAGCTTGTTGGTCATCACATTCCTAATCCAGAGCTAGTAAAGAGATAAAGGACCAGATGTCCTGGATTAGAGCAAGGGTACCCTGAATCCAGTGGAATTTAATAGATGAGGGTCAGGGAAGAGTATAAGAAAAGTGCAAACGTGCAAGGTAATTTTCCAAGCCTTCAGTAGTTCTCAGCTCAGCCACTTTCCCAGCTAAGATGTTCTAGAGGCCAAGGCTGCTTTCTCTCCCATGAATCCTTTTAGCTGCTAGTCCTGCCTTATTTAAAATGCTCATTATTTTAAAGCTACTCTGTAGCTTTAAAATGGAACTATCACTGTTACCCCAAAGTATCAGAGAGAAGATAAAGCACCCTGCATGGCTGCCAGCATCACAGGGAGTTACTCGGTTTTCTCCAAAAAGAAAGAGCTTGCTGACTGCTAAAAATCATTTCAACACCCAAGAAGGACAAAACAGGGCCTGCTTCTGTTGGAGAAATAGAAAATCCTGCCCCAGTGCCTTTTACAGTACAGGAAAAAGCAATCAGCAAAGCTAAAGATGTGGATCAGCAGAAATCCTGTGCAACCATGGGAAGAGCTGCCCCTTGGTATCTGCATTGCTACAGCAACAGGCAGAGTGCTGAGAGGACACAGGTGTCATCCCCTGTGCTTCCCTCATCCCCTTCTCTTTCTGTATCCATGTATCTGCAACTTCATTGTCTGGGGTTGGACAACCCGAAAATGCAAGTTGGGGTGAAAATGGCATTCAGGACCCCAAGCTGGACCCCTTTGGGTTAAACATCTGACCCAGCCATAGGGGAGATTAATCCTGCTGCAAGCACAGAAGAGCTGCCTCTCTGTGTGAACTTAGATGGGGCCTGAGACCTGTAGGAAGTGCAGCATCACTGTTGTTTCCCTTTCAAATCCCCGTGAGACTAAATCTCAGCTCAGCACTGTAGGTGGCTGAGCAGAGTATGTGCCTAGCTGCAGGTCCTCTGCTGTGAGCGGGTCCTCAGAACAAAGGGAGTGAGGTGGTATTCAGAAATAGGAGCTTCCAGCCCTATTTCTCCAGTGCTAACAGAAAAGTTGAGCTCTTGGCCAACAGAGGTAGCTTGGAAAAAGTGGCTTTGCCCCAGGACCTTGCCTCAGTTCCCTAAAAAGCTTTGCTGTGTGAGCTGATGTGACTTTGGATCCCTTCTTGGACAAGCTAAATGCTCTCACTGCTGCCTCCTCTAGGCACCTAAAACCTATTTTAGACTTCACCCTCATTCCCCTGTTGATGTTTCCATATCCAGGAGGGCAGAAGTTGTCCCTTTCTTGTTCTCTCCCCGTCCCCTCCTCTGCAACCATATCCCACAGGCACAAGTTACTCCAGGCCATGATGAGCCTTCCCCAGGTTGATTGTACCTCTGCATTGCCCTCCAGGTGAGCAAGAGCCCCTTCACTTGAAGTCCTCCCCGTGATGCTGTTGCTGCTGCTGCAGGTCTTGGCGAGCTGCTTCTGCCTGGGACACAGTGAGGTGGTGAAGTCCTTTGAAAGCTCATGCCCTCAGTTCTTCTTCCAGAAAACCCCCCCAAATGAAGCCCTGGAACCAGAGAACCCAGCCTGGATCTGCCAGCGTTACAAGAACCAGTATTATTTTGCCACCCTGTATGACAGGAGCAGGCGTATTCCCGTATACTCTGCTTACCTCTACCAGCCAGCAGCTGGCAAGAGACCCAACACATGGCTGGTTGAGCCGCAGGTGAGTGTTGTCTCTTGCAGCACATCACCCTACAGTCACTAAAAGGTCAGCTGCAGCAGTTAACCAAACACTTCCTTCTCCTCCCATCCACCCCACACACATGCAAATGGGACTGCTGGATGGGATTCGTCTCATCCGACTTCAAACACCTTCACCACATGGTTCCTCTGATGCATCTGAGACATGAGCAGGAGGATGAGATGAGTCATATCCTAAAACTGCCCATTTTGCCACATTGACCTCTTAGGAACATTAAGTCACATTCCATTGCATTACATTACATTACATTAAAGTCAAATGACCCCTGTTCCATAGTGTGGTGGAGACCAAGTAATGGGGCAAAGACATCCAACAGCACCTAAATGTGAGGGATGAACAGTGCTGAGCTCTGATCTCTTTTGCATCCCTGACATAGCTTATTTGCTTCTAGTTGAGTCATTCTTGCTTTGTAAGTGGCATGAGAGAAGTGCAATGAAGCTCAGAATAGGGTGAGATGACACAGTGCAAAAGTATAGGAACAGGCTTTCAGCACTGAGAGGGTTAAGTTAACACTGGGTAAATGCATTGAGTGATGTTTCAGGCAGTGAGAAGTGAGTAAGAATCAGCATCACTCAAGTCAGAAGTGCACAACCTCCATCCACCTGTAGTTGCCGCTTACCACCATTGCCTCAGGCTTGGTTCAGAAGCATCCACCAGACACAAAGATCTCTGCAAACTACAAAGCCCTCCCAAAAGTCCTTCTGACAGACTTCAGCCTTCAGTAAGAAAACCCAAGCAAGTTACAGAACAGAAGAAGAGGAAATTCAGGTCCTTGCTCAGAACACAGAAGCAGTAGGGGATTTAGGTGAAAATGAGCCACAAAAGAAAGCCATATGCCCTATTCCAGAGGAAGGCTAAATATGTTTCTTTAAATATGAAAAGGTGTTATGGTCATGAAAGAAATCATTTGCACTTGCTACTCATAGGAACTCAAGCAGCTAATACAGACCTGCCTAGGAACTCAAGCAGCTAATAGGGTACTGCAACTACTGCAGCCTCCACATTTAAGGTGGATAACACATTCTCTCTTTGCCTCCTGGACCATGGTCCCAGGCCATCTGTGAAATCTGGGAATTAGTTAACTTCCTGCAGAGGGTTTATGCAATATTTATGTTTCCCAGGTCTCCTGGGGTATTATGAGCTCCTTTAAGAGGCTGATCATTTCCAACTTGCTTTCAGTGCTGCTGCAGAAGGAGCACATCTGTTCTCCCTGGTCCACATTAGCCCTGAGACACACTGTTAGCCCTGCAGTAGTAGATCCCACTTGCATTGAGATATTTTCTGTTTGCCGAGTGAAAAAGCTTCATCTTTGCAATGCACTATAGCCCTTCCAGGGAAACTCACCTCTGGGACTGGTTTCTCAACGCATCTCTATGTGTATGGATATAGAGGAGGCAAACACTGGTGTTTCAGGAGTGTGGTACTGCAGCAGCAACCACACATAGTTCAAGTGAGGGGCAAAGACTGAGGGGCAAAGAGGAGAAGAAGAGAAGGGGCTGAGTCCTTCTCATCTCCCCTGTGGAAGGCTCCATGGCTCTTCTGCTCATCCGTGACCCATCCTGTCCACCTTCAAAGACTCCCTAAGACACGCAGTGTTCAAAGAGGGTATCTGTGTGCTTGTTTTCCCTGAGCTCATAAAAGACCAGGGTGTTGACAGATTGGTTTAAAAAAGGCATGAAAACCTTTCACAAAGCCTGAGCAAAAGGGCAGGACTGGTGATAGCCTGATCAGATGCAGGTGATGAAGGTTGAATGTGATTGATATGGGTGAGAGGCACTGGGGAGAGTCCTGAGCAGATGTAGGATGTGGAGATGGGAGGAAAGGGAACCAGATGTGGCAGGGGAGGTGTTTCACCCACATCAGCTTTCAAACCTGGGAAGTAAAAAATGCTCACTGTGTCATGCGTCTACCCACAGTCCCAGGTTGGATTCCAAAGGTCGCAAGTCAAATCAAGAGCAGTCAAATTCTAAGCTTGTGTCCTCAGGGAGACGCAGCTTTATGATTTCTCTCTGATTCAGGCATTTTCATACCCTGAGATGAGTGCTCAGCGCTCACAGACTGCTACTCCAGGGAAACCTGCTCCATTACTCCCAACACTAACCCTTTTTCCCGTTCTTTACCTCTTAAGCTGATTGGCCCAGCTTATCCCAAAACTATGGAAAGAGAGCGGACCCTCTTGAATGACTTCAACATCAGCTTAGAGGAGATCGGCAAGCACCAGGCTGTCCTCCAGGACTACAAGAACCTGACTGGTTTGAACCGGGGCCATTTGAACCCCAACAGCCACCACTCTGACTCCAACAGCAGGACAGCAACCTTCACCCTCACCAACATCGTGCCCCAGAACGAGAAGCTCAACGGTGGTGCCTGGAACAACTACGAGCAGCAGACGATGATCAGGAACACCCAGGGCTGTAACAACACCTATGTTGTCGTCGGTGCTGTGCCTGGGAACAACTACATTTCCAAGGGGAGGGTGAATAAACCCAGCTACATCTGGGCAAGTGCCTGCTGTGAGGTGAACACCAAGCATAGGAAGACTTGGGCTGTCATTGCTGAGAATGATAGGAATGAGGTGCAGCTCCTCACACTGGAGGAGCTGGAGGATACGTTGACCCAGCTTTATGGGAGAAGCCGGGTTTCTCTGTTTGACAGTGGCTGTCCCCGGAAATAAGCCCCACTACACATCCCAAGGCTTACAGGCATTGTCCACATGCCCTGTGCAGCATCCATCCTGCTTCCTTCTCCAGTGGTTTTCCAGCTCTTATAAAGGAGTACTTGCCCTGGCCACTCTGGAGGGGCAGGCTGGACAACAGCCATGGGCAAGGAGATCAGAGTTCTCACTGACCCTAGAAGAGCTTTGTTTGGGCTATTTTCCCCTTTATCTCCATGCCCATACACAGCTAATTGTTCATTCCTCTCCTTATTAGATATCACAGGTAGCGTGCTGCTGACTTGTCCCTCATCCCCTTAGGAAAGGTATGGGACTAGGACAGCCCAGGTTGCCCAGAGAGGTTGTAGATTCTTCATTGCTGGAGATACTCAAAACCCAAATAGACATGGTCCTGTTTGAGCAGGGGTCTGGATGAGAGGATCTCAAGAGGTCCATCCCAACCTAATGATTTAGTGTGAGGTGTCCCTGCCAATGGCAGGGGGTTGGAACTGGATGATCTTAAGGTCCTTTCCAACCCAAACCATTCCATGATTCTGTGATTCATCTTTAGACAAGGAAAGCAATGAGCCCGAGGATTGCTGAAAGTCTGTAAGGATGATTCTACAAATGCATTCTGACCAATAAAGCAATGACAACAGCAAAGGATAAAGGGAGAGAAGGTGAAGAAGTAACACAACTAAGCACAGGAGCAGCATTTCTCGAGGTCTGTAAATAAATAAAACATGGAGAAAGAAGGAAATAAGCTACATCTAATCACTGGGCTCTCTAACCCTGAGCTTACACAGACACTGTGTTTATGTATATCTATATGCTAGCTGGTTGTTGTTGGCTTGCTTTTGAAGCCTGCACCTTGAGAGCAGGAGCTGAGGTTATCAGCCAGCCAGGCTCAGGGATCAGATGTACAGCAAGCTTTGACCAGTCAAAGATACGTTTCTGTGCCACACTGGTTGGATTATTTTCTTCTCTGCACTCATTCTGAACCTTTCCTGCATATTTATGTGTAACTCACTTTGTTAAATGCATTCAATGGGTGTAAGGTCAATGTGTGCCATGTAATTTAGTTCCGGAGTAGTTTACAGCATGAAGTATTTGCTCCATTGCTGCACTGTAAGGTCACCTTATATATAAACTGTAAGTTAGACCCCTACATGCAGATGTGTCCGTGTGTGTTGGGTACCTGAGCTCTGCCCACAGCCAGCAGAGGTCCAGGAGTGGCTCAGCTGCATGAATAGAGGCATCCTGGACCACTTGAGATGCCCTGATAGCTGCAGCCAGAGGCCAGGCAAGTTCTCCAAGGGCATCTCCAGTGGCTCTGGACACCTGAGAGCAGGGAAGCTCCCAGCACACACCACTGTCAGCTCTCAGTAGTACCATGGACTCCTGTATCTCCAGCTGCTATGGTGAGAGCAGCAGTAGCATTCACTTGTGCCAGCTGTGCTGCTCTTAGGCACGAGAATGCTTTTTAGGAGAGTAACTTAGGAACATCACTCACACCCCCCTTTGCTGGGTGGCCCTTGTAGTCCCGGGCCCCTGCCCTGAAGCATTTTTGCTCCTTGGTTCACATGCTGCCACAGACCACTGATGGGGGGAAACTATCAAGTGCTACCTCCGTTTGAGGGACCTCTGCAGACACCACTGCGGTTGCTCATGGACTTCCTCTGACTCGCTCATCTAACTCCTCATGCCTGCTGAGACTTGAAACCACACTCATCCTCACCATTACCAGCCCCTAAAATCCCCCACTCCCCAACCACTTCCATTACTCACCCCTCCACCAGCTCCCTGGGCTCTCCCCAGGACCTTTTCACTCAGTGGTACCCAGAAATGCCCTCCCCTCCACAGCAAGCATATGAAATACATGAGAAGCCAAAAAAAACCAATGGATGAATCAGCTTGGAGGCTGCCTTCCAGCAAATAAGAGGGATGCTTCACACAGCACCTTAGCTTGGAGCTGAGCAGAAGGCTGCTTCAGCTCCAGGGGCATCCTTACATCCATGATTTCCTCTGGTTTCTGCTGACCCTGGCTATGAACGAGTAATAGGGATATCTGGAGAGCCCAGAGCCAGTCTATGCATCATGTGTGCATCTCTGGTGGGGTGGGAAGCTCCTCTGTCTGCTGCACTGAGATGGGAAGGTAATTCCATGTCTCTTGCTACTAGTGGATAGCTGAGATTTTAGAAAGGAAAAGTTTGTTTTCCCAGAGGCTATAAGGGGATGCTGGGACCTAAATCCTGTTAGCCCTGTTGCTCACTGCATCCCCTGCTGGGGTTGTTGGAATGGGTATGCAGCTGGCAGAGAGTCCTATCACTAAGTGCACTTCACTGCCATGGGCTGGATCATGCAGTTTATTTAGTCCTATTCCAGTGGTTCAAACGCCTTGAACTGAACACGCTGCCAGATCCTGTCCCAAAAGAGATGGCAACAAGAAAATCACTCAAGTGGCATCATCTGGCCTCTGCTTGAGAAAGCAGCTGGGCAAAACTGCCTTGATGCATCCAGGTTTGTAGCAGCTATAACATTTTGCCAGAGTAAATGCAATATGCTTATTTATAAATCCCTGCAGGAGCATCTCTGGCTGCCACATGGGGAAAGCAGGCGGGGAACACCTCACTGGGGCTTTGCCATCTCCATCTCCAGGTTCTACTGGGAATTTCCTGTCTTCAGTTAAATGTGGATCTATATAATTAATAGATACATATACAATATCCATTAACCTAGCTGCTTTATCTTGCCAGGAGCTATTAGAAGAGAGGAATGTTCAGCTTATCGAAAAGCAAACATCTCTATTTTCCCATGTATGCATTGCTATTGCATGGTTACCAAAGAAGCTGGAAAGCCTGAAGACCAGAAAAACAATTCTCCCTCCTGATTCTTCATCCAAACGTGAAATGTTATTGTTGAGGAAAGATAAATTGTGGATCTTTGCACCTCTACATCATCTTCTGTCTGATCTTTAGTGCCTTTTCTTGATTTAAAGGGCTAAAGTCGTGATTGGCAACTCCTAGAGCAAAACCCAGTGTGGGATAAAGAGAAGGGCCCCTGCACTAAAGGCCTTAGATAGCAGAAAGCTCTGTTGAAAGCTTATGAATATCTCAGATCAGATATGAAGGAATTAATAACACTTTAAGCTGGGGTAAGAAAGTTAACACTGACTTAACTGCTGAAAGGATTTGTGCTGAGCCTGTGTGATTTCACACCACTCAGGCTATTTGATGGGAATGCTTCTTTTTCACGTGCCATAATAAAGCTCATCTGGTTCTAACCCCCTGCCACGGGCAGGGACCCCTTCCACTGAAGCAGCTTGCTCCAAGCCCCTGTGTCCAACCTGGCCTTGAGCACTGCCAGGGATGGGGCAGCCACAGCTTCTCTGGGCACCCTGTGCCAGTGCCTCAGCACCCTCACAGGGAAGAGCTTTTTCCTTATATCTAATCTAAATCCACCTTCTGTCAGGTTCAAGCCATTCCCACCTGTCCTGTCCCTACAGGCCCTTGTAAAGGAAGACTTGTTTTAACAAACTGCCACATGTGCAAATGGGGGTAAGCACTAAATTACTCCTGGGGCTTTGAGATCTTACTCTGCATGTTCAGAGCACTGGACTGGGACTGACATCAGTTCACAAAGTCACCTCAGTGCCACCGTATCCAACCCAATCAAACAAAAATAGAGTTATCTTCCTTTCACTGAGCACGGTGACTTAAGGCTAAAAGGCGCAGTATAAACTCCTTCAATTTTGGTATTTGTTATCTTACACTGCAGAACTTTATGAAGGATTGAGGGAGTTCGAACAGGACGAACACAGTAAGAATTGAAGGAGAGAAACCTTTGGTTCTGAGCAGAGCAAGCTGGAAAACAGGGCTTCTTGTGCACAGGAAATGTTATTTCAAACTGTGCTTTCAGTCTGAATCAGAACAAAAGGCCATGAGCTTCCAAATTCCCCCTGAGATGGAAACTCTGAGAACGGTGGTGTGTAAATTCTGGAGCAGCGTTGTTGTGATACCCACCTCCCGCAATGTGATGAGCAAAATCAGCCTTCTCATCAGCTTGCTGCACGGCTACCACCAGATTCCCTGGTCGCGATGGTTTGCTGGAGGTGGAGGTTTCCTGAGGATAACTATGGTAATACATCCCTAGGAGCTTCCCTAAGGATTGATGGGGTCTAGGCATTGATCTAGAGCTCTCATCCTTACTGGATGCACAATTGATGCACAACTGGGTCCTGGCCATACATCATTTGCCCAAGGAAGTTGTGAATGCTCCATCCCTGGCCATGTTCAAAGCCAAGTTGGATGAAGCCTTTGGTGAGATGGTTTAGTGTGAGGTGTTCCTGCCCATGGCATGGGGGTGGAACTGGAGGATCTTAAGGTCCTTTCCAACCCAAACCATTCTATGATTATATCATCAAGTGGTTGAAAGAACTGTGTTAGGAGGATGGGGAAGGTGGAGGCTGTTAGCGGGGTAGAAGAACCAGTTTCCTTTCTTGGAAAAGGCCCAAGCCATTTATGCGTCAGCACTTTGCCCTGCAGCCATGGGCTGCACCTTCCTCCCACATGGACCTCCCCACTGTTGGGATGACACCTCCAGAGTCTCCCGACAGAGGGGGTCATAGTGGGTATGTATATGAATGACACAGCTTTACAAATGAAATCTAGTTAGGGAATACTTCCTTGAATTTCTTGGTTGCTCCAAGCCCCTGTGTCCAACCTGGCCTTGAGCACTGCCAGGGATGGGGCAGCCACAGCTTCTCTGGGCACCCTGTGCCAGCGCCTCAGCACCCTCACAGGGAAGAGCTTCTGCCTTATTCTAACCTAAGTCTCCCATTGAAGTTTGAACCTGTAGCCCCCTTGTCCTGTTGCTGCAGTCCCTGATGAAGATCACAGCAGATACCTATCTTTAGGCAACCAGATCAATCTGTAGGTGTTCCATGTGAGCTGCTGTCTGAGCAACCAGTAGTGTGAATGGAATCAATGGCTGATGCTGTTCATGGGATCTGGAATACTACCCAGCTTGGGTGGACATCTGCATGTGATGGTTGAATGTCTCTAGGCTCCTCTTATCTCCATTGTGATGGGATCAGCTCACATGGAGACACCTGTATGAAGGGACATTGAATGATGCATAGCATTGTGTAGGCTGATTCTTATAATGCATACCTCTGGAAAACCACATTTTCTATGCTTGTGTCCCTGGCCGTGGGATAGGAGTATGTGTATTTCCACCCTTTGGGGATGGTTAGGGTTAAGGGAGCTCCACTGCTCTTAGATTGTAAATATTGCTTCCATCACCTATTTTGGAGATACTGTTTGCCAGAGATCCTCTTGCCTAAGTGTTTTTAGTTAGCATTTTAAAGGTTAGCTGTGATCCTACATGTGTGAAGTGAGCTTTAGCACAGCTCTTTAGAATAAACCTTCCTGGGATAAAGTTCCTAAGTTTTTAACAGCTTTTGTAATGGAAAATAAGTCATGTCTTTTTCAAGGTGTAGATCAAGAAGAGGAAGAACAAGCTGCCTTTCAAACACCCACAACAGTTTATTGTTATAGTTTATTAGCTGTTCCATGCTGAGAAAATCAAAGTCTACAAACGAAAACATCAATCACATCTCCTGTAACATTAGTGAGAGCAGCCCTGGGAAAAGCACAACAGCGTTGGTGTCCCTTTGGCCACAGCCTCTCGTAGTGGTGGCCATTTGCTCTCAGGCTGGGTCCCCCTGATTTCTACTTGCTCTCTGCTTGTTGTATTGAAGGCTTAAGCCTCCGATGCAAGCATTTCCCTTAAGGACCAGCAAGGCCTATTCAGAGGTAAAGTATGGCTCAGCTTCCTGATGAAGTACAAATACAGCTCCCATGCTGGAGGTGACCTGGGCTCAGACTCCCTATGTACACATTAACAGCTAGGAAAATTGAACCCCACAATAGCTGCCCAGTCTCTGACCTGCTATTCCTTACCGATCCCTTACCAGCAGAGTGTGTCCCTTCATTCCCAAGAAACAAAGATAAAATGTGGAGAGAAAGCCCCTGGTGAGGAAAGGAAAAGCCACCGAGCAGCAGGAGCCATCTGACTGCTCATGTTACCTGCATAAAAATGTGCATGCTAGGAGTAAGTGAGTGAAATATCAGCATTGTCCAGCTGCAATGCTTAACAGAGGTATGTTAGCAATAAGTAATGTGCACTGATTGAATGAATCAAGGGAGCTCACTACCACTGCTTGCAGCCTTCAAAGCAGCTGAGAGGTGTGAAAACCTGTCGTCTATAGTGTAAATACAGGTTGTTGTTTGCTCCCATACAAACTAACCGCATGTAATAGGCCATTACACATCCATCTTTATAAAGATATATAGTACAAGCAAATTTTATTCCAGCAGGAATAAAAACAAAAAGCCATGGGAAGTATAAATATCAAGGCTTCAAAGGGAAAATAACTCAACAGGAATGCAAACCAATAAAACACACATACACTCGATCACAAAATAGGAAACTACACCAAGATCCCATGCCTCCTGAATTATAAGGAAGGGATTCATCTCATTTTGCTTTTGTCATATACCAGGTAAAAATATATACCTAATCTACTCAATATGGCTATCATTTAGGTTCAATGCAGAGAATCAGGTGCCTTTAGACCATAAGTCATTTGGCCTGTGTATATATCTATAGCTGTATACCTGTGTGTGTATATATATGTGGCCAGTAAGAATTTCCAGTTCCGTAAGAAACTGAACTTATGTGCAGAGGGTAAATGGGTTTGATAGCCTTTTCCAAGAGGATATCCAGTGATAGAAGGAGAAAAGAGTGGCTGCATTTTACTCATCTGGTAGGGATGGACAGGGACACATCAGGTGTCCAGCATCAATTTGTGGGCAGAAGATGGTGTGTGGGCTGTATTGATGGTACCATCACCTAACATGCTTGGGCAAATGGTCCATATGTAAGCCTGGTCGCTTAGGAAAGGCTGCAGTTATATTAGCAACACATCTGCTATATGGTAGGAGGAGGGGAGTGGTTTTGGGAAGCAGTTTCAGACAGGGCTCTTTCCCCGTCTATCATTGATGGGATGCACACACACACCCCACACCCCCAGTGCTCTGTAGGTGGAAAGTCCCTCTATCCCCATAAGAATTAAGCTGTGATATTTTCTGCCTCCTTCACATGGTGGAATATGAATGTTCAGGCTTCTTCCTTGTTTGCCAGTGCTGGTATCACAGTATCACAGTATGTTAGAGATTGGAAGGGACCTCAAAAGATCATCTAGTCCAATCCCCCTGCCGGAGCAGGAACACCTAGATAAGGTTACACAGGAACGTGTCCAGGCGGGTTTTGAATGTCTCCAAAGAAGGAGACTCCACAACCTCCCTGGGCAGCCTGTTCCAGTGTTCCGTCACCCTCACTGAGAAGAAGTTTCTTCTCAGGTTTAAGTGGAACCTCTTGTGTTCCAGTTTGTACCCATTTCCCCTTGTCCTATCATTGTTTGCCACTGAGAAGAGCCTGGCTCCATCCTCGTGACACTCCCCCTTTATATATTTATATGCACTAATAAGGTCACCCCTCAATCTCCTCTTCTCCAAACTATAGAGACCCAGCTCCCTCAGTCTTTCCTCATAAGGGAGATGCTCCACTCCCTTAATCATCTCAGTTGCCCTGCGCTGGACTCTCTCCAGCAGGTCCCTGTCCTTCTTAAACTGAGGGGCCCAGAACTGGACACAATATTCCAGATGAGGTCTCACCAGGGCAGAGTAGAGGGGAAGGAGGACCTCTCTCGACCTACTAACCATCCCCCTTCTAATACACCCCAGGATGCCATTGGCCTTCTTGGCCACAAGGGCACAGTGTCGGCTCATGGTCACCCTGTCGTCCACTAGGACCCCCAGGTCCCTCTCCCCTACACTGCTCTCTAACAGGTCGTTCCCCAACCTATACTGGAACCTGGGGTTGTTCGTGCCCAGATACAGGTCTTGGAGCCTCTGGTACAGTCAGGTTTCTTCTGTGTCAAGTCATCAGTTTCATGAGTTTGGATCTGAGCTCTGCAGTCTGAACTCTATAGCAGGAAAAAGACTTTACTAAAGCTGGGAAGAAGCACATTTTCTATGGTTCCTTCTATATTTACTATGAGAAACCACACAGTGCTTTTCTCAGAAGACACTACTTAGGATCTCAGTTACTATTTCATCTAGTATTGGCTATTTTATTACTTGCTCCACCACTGAACCAGTGAAATGTAGGCTATTCTTAACAATTTCCCGCCTATCATATTCCCAGAAACCCTACAATGGCCCAGGCAATCTGCACCATGTTTGCCCATCTTCACTAAAACATGTTTCAAACTGTTGTCTACACTTTCCATGGCTTTATCTGACTTTGAACTGAAGTAAGAACACTGCAAATGTGCTTTCACAAGGACTCCCCTTTCAAGCAAAATCCCCATTCAACTCAGAAGCAGACCCCACTACTAATTAATAGGGAACATGAAAAGTAATAGGAATGAGGATTAGCAAAGAACTCCCAAATGTCAAATAGGGACATCTTGTATTAAGTAGGCTGGGGAGTCTGTGAAAAGGAACAGCCTTGGTGTGTCTCAGTGTAGTAATAGAAACAGTGAGGAGGCTAAAATAAGTCTGAGGCACAAAGCTGTCATGACACGACTGAGAAATCAGGGGGATGAAGGAAGAAAAACTACATGGTCATGGTGGCAGATGCTCCACCAGCCTCCCCACAGGTTAGCCAGGGAGAACAAGACTGGTTGATTGTGTAATCTATCTGAAACCAGTTTATTTGCATGATTAACCTTAATTTCCCCATGGCATTCATTTTCCACCCATCATCTGAGCTGCCATTCTCAGTTCCACATTGGCAGGGACCGAGCATGCTTTTCTGATTTCAAAAGCTCTGATTCTCCTTTTCTTGTGCCAGTATTTAGTATCTGAACCAGACAGCCCAAAATCAAGGGTCATTTATTTAACATCAAAGAAGGTATTCAGAAATCTAAGTGGCGCACCAGTGAGATGGCTGATCCGGGTGGTAGCTCTTCCAGTCCTAAGGAATTTCATTTTAGATTTCCCATTTTCCTGGTTCCATCCCACTTACTGTATTCTCTGCTTGGTGAGTCACATGAAGACAGCAGGAATAACAGGCAGAAGAAAAAAGACAGCTGTTGAAACATAAAATCAACATGCTTAGCACATAGTGTCTCTGCCCATGGCAGGGGGATTGGAACTGTGTGATCTTAAGGTCCTTTCCACCTCAAACTATTCTGTGATTCTGATTCGATGGTGTTATCTTATTGCACTTAATACAACTGAGAGAAACAAGGGAGGCCTGGGATAGGGTCTCATCTTGCCCCTATGCCCAGAGGCAAGAGTTCTTCCATACTGTTCCATTGCTTTGCTCCCTGGGACAAACAGCACCCAGCCAGATGGGTTTTGGCAACTCAAGACTGACCACAGTCAAATAACCAGGGTCTACTGATGCTGCACTCTCTGGCATAGTTTGCAATATTCCTCCTTCCCTTCCTTTATTGCCCTCCTTTATTCCTCCTTATTATACTCTGCACTACAGTTGTCATCAGACTCCAGCTGGAATCAAGAGCCCTTGTGCAAAGTCTTGAGTATATGCTCAGTATGAGACAATTCTATTTTAGCAGCTAATGGCTGAATAGAGGATGGGGAAGGGGGAGAAGAAAAATCTCTTCAGACTGATCTCAATGCAGCAGTTCAGCTGTGAGGAAATATTTTATTTGCCCATCTTTTTTTGTAAATATAAAAGAAAAACATCATTTAAATATTGACATTTTTTTTTCCCCAGCTGAAGTTATTCACTGAATTCACAGAAAGCCTCAGAGGAATAATCTGAAAATTGCTTCATTTAAAAACTAGACTTTAGTGTGATCTATTTTCTTTTACATTGAATCAGAGAATTGTTAGGGTTATATCTCTTATAAGTCTTTGAAAACAAAATGCCATACCTGTGACTGGCAGTATCACAGACGAGGAAAAGAGTGGATGAGTAGAACCTGTGAAGACAGACAAAACCTTGAGTTTTGTATTGATTTGCTCTTCTGCTAAAGAGCATCAAAGCAGTGATGATGACGGAGTCAGGCAAGAGTCAACTCGCTCCAGCATGGAAGCAGCGATGAGGGTAGAGACTGACAGCTCTTCTCCCTCTGCACAGAAGGCTTAATAATTGCCATGTTTGTTTCTTGGCCATCAATAGATGTTTCCAGCCTGGATATCAATGTATGTGCTGAGCTGCTATCTGCTAATAATGGGCATGAAGTGAGCAGTATCTTCCAGGGAATGGGATCCAGCTAAGGTCTTTATTTCATATGAGACTGGGGAGGATGCCTTTCAAGGTGCCAAGCTAAGATTTGAAAACATAGCTTCAAACAGGACCTCTTTTTCCCTAGAATATAAGCCAAAAATCCCCTTGTGCAAGAAATTTGTGTTTTTCCCTTATCTATTTCATTGTATTTTTCTCTTATCCTGAAAGAAATCTCTGAACTTGAGCTACTATGAGATCTGGACAGTTTTTTTCATGAGAAGCCCTATAAGAGATGCCTCTTGATAAACCTCTTACTGGTGAATGCTGGTGGAAGAACTGAGAAAGGGGAGGACATTCCTTGTCCAGCTCCATTACAGACAACAATCGCATCATAATAATGAGAAAGGCAACATTTTGGGGGTGCCAATATTTGATGCACTGATCACAAAGACCTGATTTCGCTCAGGTACGAATGTATTTTTGCAGGGAAATTGAATTCTTGTTCTGTTGAATTAAAGGGCAATTTCATCATCCAGTTTCCTGTTCTTCATAAACCTAATTTTAAAATCTGAAGTATTTGCTATTTCTGACTGTTCAATAGGTTGTGTCATTTTCTAGGACTGGAATGTTGATAGGTTATTTCAATCATAGCAAGAATTGCCTTTATCCTGGTAGTACCAAGTGAAATGATCAATGGGGGGAAAATGAGTGTGGTGACCACTCAAAAAACCAAACAAGAAATTGTGACTGCTGTACCTGGAGCACTCTGAACCAGGCACCACAGGGAAAGAGATGGACCTATGAAGGAGAGAAAGTCCTGCGTTAATGCTCCAATAGTGTGTCCACTGAGGAAGGTGATTCATTCTTACAGTCCCCTCTGTTGCTTATGAAGGCAGCCCAACTCAGATGTGGGCACTTATCCAACACATGTCAACAGTTCTGCAAGATTTATTTCCCCTTAAAGTCCCAAGTACTGGTGGAAAACAGCTTTTTCCACTCTTTGTTGATAGGAAATTCCTCTTGCATTGACCTTGCATTGGCTCCCACCTCTAAAACTCAGCCCATTGCACCCCCCTGCCTCAGAGGAGGGTGGAAGGGTAATGGAAGGCTGAGGACTGTAGAGGTGATGGGCATCTGGGTCCTTTCACAATCAATAGCTCTGCCTGACTCCTAGAGAGAGCCCCAGACCATCAATGCTATCACAGATACTTGGGAAATGGGTCCTGTTTGTTCTCTGCATATTGAACTCCTGCACTGTAGAGTTAGGAGAGATGCCTTCAGAACAGGTAGATAGTTTGGGTGGAGTGGAGGCCATATAAAGGTCTGGCTTGGGTTTGTTTTTTTTTTTTCCATTAATACATCTAAAGGCATAAAAAAACAAGAGGCAGAGGTTCTGCAGCCTCACTTGAGAGGCTCCCCGAGCAGTGAAACTCAAGATGCCAGCCCACATTGGCACGAGTCTTGCTGACTTTGGAGCCATAAAGTATACAGTGCAATACTGGTGGGCTTTTTGCTGTCTCTTTGTTCAAAACAGTATCCTGGGTGCTAAATTAAGAACCAGTTTAAACATTACTCAGGTGTAGCTATGAACTATCTAAACTCTGGATCCCAAAGCCCTAAGCAATCTTGAAGAATGCTTAGATACACGTTTTGGAGTACCTTACTGGGAAGTGACAATAGACAATATAGCTCCCAGGATGAAGGAGAAAGAGAAAGGCTTATTCTCCTATTTTCTCCCCAGTATGTGACAGTGTGGCTCTATCTGCTCACAAATTCCTGCAGTTTTGCAGTTAGTATGAAAGGATGCATGACAAAGTAGGATGTAGCTGTATCATTCCTGGAGATGTCATCCTCATCAGTCAGAAATGCCATCTCCATCAGTGCCAGAGCCATGATGTCCCTGATTTCTCCATCCCAAACCCCAAGCAGGTTGTTCCTTACGACTGATGTGCTGAGTTGGAACAGGTCAAGCATAGACATGATTCCGAGGCAACTGTCTTACCTGGCTCAACAGTCTGTGGCAGCCACTCATTGCTGTCATTGGTGCATCGCATGTCAAGGGGGGTCCAGCTGATTTTGCCATTCACCTTCTTACACTCACGAGTGCCAGAGGTGGGAGGTCGCTTGTCGTACCCGCTCTGGCATTTGAAATGTAAGACTTGTCCCACATAATAATGTTTGCCCAGGCTTAAAGAGGCATGTGGAACAGTCTTGGGAGGACCACAGAAATCTGGTGGGATCACAAGGCAGCACACAGTTAGAGCAGCTAGATTTTTCCCTGCTGCTTTTGTTACTGAAACAACACGATCTGTGATCTTATAAAATACAGACTAGCAGGATATGTTAGGATACAGAATGCTCATTTGCTTGTACCACATCACTTGTCATTATTCTTACACTGCTTCCATGGAAATGGGAGATGTGTTACAGTAATGAATGGGCTCTTACCTTTCTGGTCAGATGCTGAAAGGTTTACTTGCTTCTGGGGTGCAGGGGTCTTCTGTGGTTTTCTTTCTGGTTTCTGTGTAGCATCTAACTCCATTGTGGGAGCCGTTGACAATAAAACTTTCTCATCTGTGGGAGAGGTCATATTGCTGGATTACAGCAGGACCGGTAGCAGAGCAAAGCCACAGCACCCAAAGTTATAGAGGCAGAATAGAGTTGCTACAAGTTCTAATTAGCAAGAATAAGCATAAAAGATCACATGTTAGAGTGATGCCCAGATGTGTCTTACATAAACTCATTGGAAAAACACCTCTAAAAGTGTAGGAAAAGGACAATCATCACTTACCAATGCATTCAAATTCCTTGTAGACCCAAGAAGCAACCTGCCCTATACTCTGACACTGAATTCCCAAGTACTGCCCTCTTCTTCTTGTGTAGCCCTTGTCACATTCATAGTACAGTTTGGTCCCCAGTGGATACCTTTCAGCAGTAACATCAGCAAATTCGGTTGTTGGAAGAGCTGGGCATGCTTCTGCAAACAGAAAGCTGAAAGTCAGGACAGCCTGTGCATTCACCCTGTTCACCGAGGACTTCCCACATTCTTCTGTCTTATCAATACCAGATCATGGCCAGAGCTCAGTGAAAGAAGCCTAATTCTGCTCCCGGCCACAGGGTTGTAATCACAGCAGAGGGATGAAACTGGATGCCATGAATGGAACATGAAGGTAGCAAAGCATTGTTTCTGTGGTTGACGCTAAACCAAAGAGTGGCTCTGAAAGTCTGGTGAAACTGTTAGTTACTTTAAGTGAACGTTTTCCATTTCCATTTTAGAAAAATCCCACCATCCAAAGACTCCTTCCCACTGGAGCTAGTTGTTGGCATTGATTTTCTAAATATAAATTTGCTCAGGCTGCAGAAAAACCCCTTGGGAGTGTCTCCACAAAGTGACAAGAAGCCTGCATTTGTCCACACTTCTTTAGTTAAGAGGGGCTGATTTGACTCCCTTGTGTTTCTTCTAAAGGAGAAAGGATGCTGGAGCAGGGATGCTCTACAGCAGCTGGGAGCAGTGGTAAAAGGCACCAGGTCTACCTGCCTCCTCCCCTGCATAAAGCAGGCTGTTGAGCCCTTCCTTTCTGAACCCAGCAAATGAACAACATGAAGCACTACCAACATTTTCTTAATTAAGCTGTACATTCAGTGTGGGGAGGCACAATAACGAAAACTAAGCCATTAAGACTTGCAATCATCTATAAGCAAACATTGGAGGGGAAGCAGACTCTCAGTTTAGTCTGAGCACACCAAAGAGCAGCTTGCTGTGAAAGAAGTTTGCAAACCTAAATATAACTCGTCCCAAAACAAGGACGTGAAGTGCTGTGTCATCAGCAAATCACGTCTAAATATACTTCTCAATCAGTTGTAATGAATTAAGTGAGATCATTTCAGTGCACTTGAAAAGCTCACTGAAACTGAGCTGGAGACCCAGAAGTTGAGAAAGGCACTACTTAATGATTATTTAAGGCCTAAAGGCTAAGAAATTAAAAGATAAAGCAGGCTGGTTGCATTAGAGATGGCATTTTGGATCTTTGGGTGCATGATCTGTGCCCCTTTATGCATAATAGTAACAGCTATTATGAGCAGAAATCCTTGGTCATCATGTTTTCACACCTTCTACAGCCATAACTAATGCAGCCTTAGCAACCAGCAAGAATGACTGCAAAATGGGCCTTGAATCCTTAATAGTTGTTCACCATTTGGCATCTGCCCTTGACTTCTAAAGTGCCTTCTCCTCGAAAGCCTTGCCAACAGCAACCCAATCAGTGACTCCCAGACCCAGTCCTGTGATGCCCTTTTCTTCCAGAAGACCAACCATTCTTCCAGAGCCACCCGTCGTTTTCTCACTTTGATGCTTTCTGCCCTTTCTACTTTTCATTACCTTGCTGCTTAATAAAAGTCACCAAGTTTGAAGAAGGCAACAACTGCTGTCAGCTAACCAGCCAAGCTGTGTAAGGGGTATGTTACTCCCCTCTTATCTTGGTGTTATCAAAGGATTTGCCTTGTAAACTACATCAGACTGTGGCTTCTAGAGATGTGACTGTACCCGAAATAGTTAACCACATGGTTTACCACAGACTGTCGGGTGATTAGAATTGAAGGGTTATCAGATTAGCAGCACATTGAGATCATGTACTCTCACTTTCCCTGAAAGCTAAAAGCATGTTTCCCTCAAGACTTCAAAAGCCTCTTTGAAGCAGACTGCAGATCTGAATCTTAGCACCAGGCACTCAAGTCTACAACTCTTTGGTCTCTTCTTAAGAAAACCCACAGCACTGAGTCTATTCATCATAAAGGGCACCTGTTGTTTTAACCTATGAACAAATGGAGTTTGGGTTCTTCTGAACTTGCATGTCAGGTAAGGATTGTGCAGTAGTGCACATGGGTGACAGTGAGCAATACCCCTCAGGCTGATGCTCTTGGATCAACTCATCCATGTTGCAGCTGGATCTCACGCAACACTTCTAGGATCCAGCTTTGTCATTTCATCCACATCATGCAAATTCTCGTCTTCTCACACCAAGTGAGACTGCAGTATCTACTTCTTTGGCCTTTACAGCCATATTCCTGTCTCTGATCATCATCCGGAAAGATGAATTTCCTAGGTCTACATTGTGACCTTCTGCTTGCTTCCCTCTGTTGACTTCTAACTGCTTCACTGATCACTGGGTATTTTTGTTTGTTTTTTTTTTAGAGAAGAGATTCAGAGCAACCCTGCGGAGAAGGACTTGGGGGTGCTGGTCTATGAGAAAATGAACATGAGCTGGCTTCAGTGTGCGCTTGCAGCCCAGAAAGCAACCGTATCCTGGGCTGCATCAAAAGGAGCGTGACCAGCAGGTCGAAGGAGGTGATCCTGCCCCTTTATTGTGCTCTTGTGAGACCTCACCTGGAGCATTGTGTGCAGTTCTGGTGTCCTCAACATAAAAAGGACATGGAACTGTTGGAACAAGTCCAGAGGAGGCCACGAGGATGATCAGGGGGCTGGAGCACCTCCTGTATGAAGACAGGCTGAGAACATTGGGGCTGTTGAGCCTGAAGAAGAGAAGGCTGCGTGGAGACCTCATAGCAGCCTTCCAGTATCTGAAGGGGGCTATAGGGATGCTGGGGAGGGACTCATCATTAGGGACTGTAGGGTAGGACAAGGGGAAATGGGTTAAAAGTTAAGCAGGGGAAGTTTAGATTGGATATAAGGAAGAAGTTCTTTATTGTGAGGGTGGCGAGGCACTGGAATGGGTTGCCCAGGGAAGTTGTGAATGCTCCATCCCTGGCAGTGTTCAAGGCCAGGTCAAACGAGGCCTTGGGTGACATGGTTTAGTGTGAGGTGTCCCTGCCCATGGCAGGGGGGTTGGAACTGGATGATCTTAAGGTCCTTTCCAACCCAAACTATTCCATGATTCTATGATTCTATTCTAATATTTGCTCCCATTTTCAAGAAACTTTCCCTTATCAACCATCATAACCTTTCAAACATTGGCTTCTCTTCCATGTTATACCTCCTCACCAATGCCTTTGATATTAAAATCAAAATAAAAATATTAAAATCAAAATAAAAAGTATTAGAATCAAAGTAAAAAAATACTAAAATCAGCTTTGGGGTTTATTATGGAATCATAGAATGGTTTGGGTTGGAAGGGACCTTCAAAGCTCATCCAGTCCAACCCTCCTGCAGCAATCAAGGACATCTTCAACTAGATCAGATTGCCCAGAACCACATCCACCTGGCCTAGAACTTCAGGCATCCCTGTTGTATGGATGACAAAAGAGCCAAGAGATGGGAAGAAGTCAGGTGTCCTTATTTCAGCTGAGATAGAGTTCATTATCTCCCTAGTAGCTGGTGCAGTGCTGTGCTTTGGATTTAGTCTGAGAACAGTGCTGATAACACCAATGTATCTTCATCACTTTTTGCTAAGTGATGCTTACTTGAAGGGATTTAAGGAACGACTTTGATTGTAAATTGAAGACCTTTTTACTTCAGATTACGAAGATTATATACGTTTTAGATTATGCCCACCCTCAGAGCTACAATGTGATTGGTTAGTTGCTGCTGTTCACGTGCGCAATACAAGCTCTTAATAGGTTAGTCTGCCTTTTTCGACACCTTCCTTTCAACCTTCTCACTTCTCAGTTCTTTCTTCTACTTCTCATTGTTGTCCCCTTTCATTCCTCTTCTTTTGCTCCACTTTTCTTGCTCAAGGTTAGTTCCCCACAGAGCTAAAATTGCAGAGTCTGGCTCAAAGTTAGCTCCCCAAAGGATTAAGGTCACTCAGCATACTCTGACTGAGTTCAAACTCCTCCTACACCTACTCTGATCAAGGACTTTTCAGTCTCATGCTCTGCCAGTGAGGAGGGGCACAAGAAGCCAGTCACTGCTCAGGGACAGGCTGGGCACCAGTCAGCGGGTGGTTAGTGACTGTACTGTGCATCACTTCTCTGCCTGGGATTTTATTCCTCTCTTTTTATTCATCATTATTGTTATTATTGTTATTATTTTAATTCTCAAACCCATGAGTTTCACCTGTTTTCCAGTTCTCCTCCCTGTCCCACCATGGAGAGGAGTAAGCAGGCAGCTGCATGGTACTTATTTACCTGCTGGGGTTAACCCACAACACCAGGGAACGAGGGAATGGCAGTATAGGCTTTCTTCTTGCCTAGATCTCTGACTTTTTACATTTTTAGGGGACATTAACTTTGCTTTTTTTGCATCTTTTGGGGAATTGTTCAGTTTGTTTGAGTTGGTGAAATTAAAATTAAAATACTATAAAGGGCCAGCCCACATAGGTGTAACCTGCCTCATCACCTCTGGTAGCACAGCTCTGCTCAGACCAGCTTTCCACTGGATTCTGCATCCCTCTATAGCTGCTCCAGGGCTACACTACCTCTAGTACTGGTTTAAAAGACTGCCCTCACATCACCTTTAAATCTCTCCTCATTTCCCCCCCGCATCCTCCAATTCTCCATCCCCATCACAAGGTGCTGTGTGTCCCTATTTCCTTCTCTTCCAGTCCCAGTCCTCTCTGTCCTCCCTTTCCATAAGTTCTATCAGACCCCACCTACCATTCTTATCTCCTACACCCCAAAATTTCCCTATTACTCCATGTCTTTGCACGTAGAGGTACTAACATGATGTATTGAAATGGGCAAACAGAGAGGTTAGTGGAATTGCAGTCATGGGGTTTATCACTGCTATGGGTTGCAGGATTGTTAGAACACATAGGTCTCCTAAAGCAGCTGGGAATCCACATTTCTCCCTGTATTAGTGGATTTTTGGTGCCTACAGCATTTATGGAACTGGTTTCAAATACTATCATATAAGGGATGGAGACATGCCCTTGGAATTAGAAGGACAGTGGTGAATTCAGATGATAGACATCAATGAAACATAAAAATTCAGAAGCACTTATTGCATCTCCTGGTGTGATTCCAAAGTCAAGATCAGTAAGTTTTCTGAGCAAGCCTCGTCCTCTGACCCACCATATGGGT